TTAAAGGAGCCACCGACACCATCAAAGGAACTCCCACAGAAGCCGAGACTGCCGATCACGGTAACGTATCACGAGGACGAGCCATCACGTCTGGACGGATAGAAGCAGGAGGCGATGGAGGTGAGTCACCGAAGGCCTGAAGAAGGACAAGAAGAGATGAGAAGAAACAACACACAGGGTCAACGACATGATGACAACAACTCTACGGACCATGGCACAGCAGCAGAGGAGACCGACTTGAGCGATGGGTTAACAGGTATCGATGCGAAATAGTCGAAACAATCGCCGGATAAATTCGTATTCTGAACGGGGCAGTTGTGATCTAAAGAAAATGCTCGTTGTGAGTATACACCAATCGGATATCCTCGACGAGTCAATTCTCGACGAGCTGGACCTCGACGAGTTGGACCTCGACGAATCGGGACTCGCTGAGTCGGACAGTGTGAAGATCTTCCATCATTCGACTTGGAGTTTGTAAAGAGATGGCAGGAGAGAGAATAGGAGCCATCCACGTAGCCCTCACTGAAGAGAATACTATATAACCAATACAGATCAGAATTTTATTACGTAGTCCAAAACACCCGTATAACTAAGGTAAGTCCCTACGCGGGTTAAATTATGACTACCGTCGAACCTCGAGAGGCATATCGTGTAGAGGTTTTTATTGGTAGTGCCAAGAGGTTGAGTTGGCCTAGAGTGGGTACTCGCTACCAGCGCACGTTAAGACTTGTCGAGTGGCAAACCGATGACCCGATAGACGGCACCGTTTGATTCTTGTCGAGGGGCAAGCCGGTAACCCCAATAGAAGGGACCGTTTATGACTTGTCTCGTGACAAGCCGGTGGGCCTCAGCCGAGGGCACCGTAAATTTTCTAGTCGTGTCTACACTGCACCCGGCGACCTTTCAAAGCGCGTAAAGCATCAGTTTCCATCCTTTGGTGTGAAGGCACAGGAGGTGAAAGGTTTAGAAGCTGCTGAGATGAGGCAGGCTTCTGGAGGGTTAGCCGCGAGGAATCGGTTAAGCGATAGCCAAAACTGAACCCAAAGGGGCGAACCGCGAAGGTACATCGTTATGTCCTAACGCAGCATCCCAACTCCGACTTGCCTCGGCGACATGGTTGTGTTGGTGCGTTGATAGTGTATTAACACACTTTTTATTAACTACTATACCACAAACGATACTTCAGCAGGAGGCGACTGAGGAAAGAGAAGAAGTGAAAGGGAAGAAAAGGCGGGAACTAGGAGGGGGAAAGTAGACTCTAAATGTCATGATATTCAGTATGGCCTATGCTCCTAAGGAGTCCTTCAATTGAGCTCGGGCAAACTCAAATTCGAGCATTGCCCCTCTGAGATTGAGCTTACTCAAAGTTGACCTGGTTTGCTCATCACTTGTTGCGCGTGTGCAGCTGCAGCGATTGGTGAGTACTTTGGTTGATATAATGGTCTGTATCAATGAACAAATAGACCGGCTTAAGTATTACCCTTAGAGGTAATATTCCATCAATATTTCCTTTGCCAGATTTAATATTGATGAATATTATCAGCTAAGACAATATTCACATTGACGTATCCAAAGTCAATGACATGAGAGGGGCTCACCCCATTACATTCGGGATGAAAGCTTTCACGTCACGTACAGCACGAATGGCCAGTGCTACGACATAGACAGGAACAGCTCATCGTGACCCCAATAAGTAGCTCACGAACTACAATAGGCGGTCGAATGGAAAGGACACCTCGTCGAGTACGCGGACCCTTCGTCCAGCACATGGTGACGTCTGTATTCCCGCCTTAAGAGTCGGCGCGTAGGAGATATGCGAAGTGTGGTTTGCCGTCAGGCTCAAGCAATTAGTTGCCAACAATGGTGTCACGTATGACGGAAAGGGACAAGTGGAGGTACGGCAGCTCGCTGAGCGCAGTCGTTGCCAGGTGGACACCGTCGCACCTACGTGGATCCAAGAAGAGGGGCCGCGGACCCTCGGAGCAAGGCTCGGCTGTCTTTAATCGCGGGTGTAGACGCATGGACACTGACATCGTTCGTGTTTCTTTCGTAGCGCATAGCTCTAGTCCGTCAGTTCACAGCGGCTACCCAGAATCATAGCCGTGCATGCAACAATGTCGAGGTTCACGCCGACGAGCCCTGGAGCAGCTTCTACCACAAAAGTCGGTCAGTGGGTCGACAAGCGCCAGCATCAAACCATCGTCTGCTCGGTACCTTTCTTATCGAGAGTGCACAGTTCAGACCATACGTTGCACACCAAGCTCGTGATACAGCCAGGTCTTGCAAGCGATCCCGAAGTGTGGCCAGTGCTTGCACCGACCGCAATGCCGACGTCTCTTTCGTGCGTGAACACAACTATGGCTCGCTTGATCGTCAGCTCTTCGTTTGCACGCGTGTAGAACGAAACAAAGTCGAGCTAATGGCTCGTCGAGCGACGTGTTGCATCCGATAGCACATCTCTGTGTGCAGATTCGAGTGCTCGCGTCGAAGTCGACCGGCTGTTGCTGTGAGTCTTTAGTGTCGCGTCGGAAAGAGGTTCTCGTTGGCGACATGAGTGGCCTGTTCGTGTCCTTCAAGCTCCACGAAGTGGATAAGACACACCCAGCGAGACGATATCGAAACAGCTTTGACAACGCGGCGATCGGGACGAGTGCGTGTGTTCAGCGACATCGACAGACCAGATCCGGTCTGCAACGAAACGCGTCCCGCTGTAGTACACCGTTCGAACAGCTGTAGTTAATCTCGCTGGCTACTGTGGTTCCGGATCGATACCTGCACCAGCATGCGATACAGTGCTGTGATAGATTTCGGACACTGCCCGCCGGGTAGGAAGCGTGACAGTTCGAAGAACGTGTATCGATTCGGTCGCGAACAAAACTGTACACAAACGCGCTTACCCCCGCACTCGCCCGCCGCCGCGAGCACGGAGCGCCTTTACCCAGTAAACGTCCAACGAGACCCGTACGTCCATGGCGTTACGTTTGTCAGGTGGTTGACAATCGTCTGGCGGATGATGTCGAGCGTTTTTCCACCTCCTGTTTTGCCCGTCAGGCTGCTGCTCTATGTAGACGCCGTCGGAAGTGGCTGGCACGCCGTCATCCGAGTGGACCCATTTGGCAGAGCCGCGAACAGCCGTTTGACGAAAGCAGCTGTGATCGAGATTAAAGAGCTCTCGTGTCGGTCGTCAAGAACAAGAAGCCGCGCGCGAGTAACGTTGGCGTGCGTCGCACGACGTATGTATATATATATAGTTTTACCGGAAAAGTCAACATGCACGAGTTTGCGCCAAATGCTGGACAGGAGTGTTTATGCATCTCACTCACGCGGGAGGAGGAAAGAGGTGATGCACAGAGCGCGTTACGCAGCGCACGCTGTGATATCGTGCGCACGCTGGATGCCAAGGCACGACGCATCTATCCATTGTTGCCTGCCTCGACCAATCTTCGATCGCTCCGGCCCTCTGTAGCAAATTTGCCGACACAGCGCTGAGGCCGTGAAAAAGCGGTAACGACGCAGCGCTTCTTTGTTTCCTCTCTGTTGCAGCTAAGACTTGCTACTGCCGAGTACCGTTGAAACGTTTCTCGCACGTGTAACTGCTTTTTTGCAGTACCGTTAAGGCAATAATAGAGACGAGACGAGGGTCGTGGATTCTATTGTTGTTGTTGTTGTTGTTGTTGTTGTGGCGCCGATAGTTTTGACATCTCCGTCCACTTCGCGCCTTCCTCATCACTCCGAGGCTGCTGTCTCGAACAGCCTCTTCGTCCCTACCAGTCGATACAAAGTACAACTAGTATGGCATATTGGCTAAAATAAGTCGCTGGCCAATCAAAGATATCGCATTCTCCAGCTGTGCCATGTTCAACAACGACCTTCTCTGCCCCGACTTCTTTTCCTATCGAATGAAGGGGCAGGAACGGCAACGATCCGTTTGTCAGAAATGGGCAGCAGCAGCAGCAGCAGCACACAATGGTCAATCACTGTCGTTGACCAGACAGAGTCCCGATATCATTCAGTGTGCGCTGCCGCCCACCCCAAATCCTCCGCAGTCACAAGAGCGGACGTGCTACGAAACAACGTCCTTCTTTCTTATCGCCGCTTTTGCCGTCTCTCTGTCGCTCGTTGTCTCTCTTCTACTCGACTGCAATGTCCGTGTGAGTGAACGATCGAGAGGCCAGAAATGTCGCGAAGAAGTCGAGCACGACAAGGCGAGGAACGTGTTTTGTCTCTCGACGACTCGGGTTAAGAACAATTGCCCGTCAACGCTCGTTGCAAAGCACGAGAGCGTTTCCGATCCGAGCGACCTTATCGCTGTCATCGTCGTTCATAGTCGCGTCGCGTCGGGGAAGACGGGCCCGAGCCGGACGAATTGGCGTGAGCGGTGGATCTTCTCTGTCGAGCGATCTGCTCTCTGCGCTTCTAAACTTAGCGCGGCGCGCGTCGCGTTCCCCCTTTCGCTTGTGTCACATGATCACCACCGCCACCACCACATGCAGCTGTTGTCTGCTGCCACGGGGCGGTCGCTCCCTCACCCACTCCTTCTTCGCCCACCCATACACTTGCCCATACACTGACTTGCTTACCCACCTATGCATCCAGAAAGGAGCCTCGACTATGCAGCCTCCGTGGCAGTTACATCCACCGCCCCCCGACCACGACCACGACCCTATTTTTTCGATTCGTGTGCGCTCGCAACTGCACTTGGCTCGTTGTTGCTCACTCGCTTTCGCTCGTTCTTGTCGGTAGAGGCGGTGGGTCGGTCGGTCAGTCGGTGGGTGGGGGTGGGGGGGGGCTTTCGGCGTGCGATAAGACGGACAAGTCGATCCCTGTCGAAACCGATGCGTCGCGCAAACCGATCGCCCCCTCCGTCCGGCGCCGCGCGCACCATCTGCTGGCAGACAGATTGTCATTTCCCATTCGGCCGCGTCCTACTCACTCGATCCCATCCCCGCCACCCGACGTCCCGTCACGTCTTTCTTTCTTTCTCGCTCACTCGCTCCAAGATGCTGCAGAACGACTACAGCTACGCGCACTACCAGCCGCCGCACCAGCAGCAGCAGCAGCAGTCGCACCTGCACCACCACCAGCAACAGCCCCCGCACCAGCCGTCGCACCACCACAGCGGCGAGCGCCCCAAGCTCTTTAGCACGTCGGCCCTGGACACCACTAACACCGCCACCACCAGCAACAACAACAACAACAATAGCAGCAACAACCTCAACGCCAGTGGCGGCGCCTACCACGGCCCCGGCATGCACGACTTCCACCAGCTCGTGCACTCGAGCAACATGACGCCGCAGCACCACCACCACCACCTGCAGCAGCAGCAGACGCCCCACCAGAGCGACTTTGACCACGAGCCCATCATGATGAATCTGCAGCACGCTGGACAGTACTACGCGCCGCCGCCCATGACGGCGCAGATGCTGCACGTGTCGACGGACTACAACTCGGGCGGGTCGGTGGGCGGCACGACGCCGTCGCTCTCGGGGTCAAAGCGCTCGCGCGAGGAGCTCAACATGAAGGAGAAGAAGCGCATGTTCAAGCTCAATGACCGCATCAACCAGCTCAAGTCCGTGCTGGACGAGGCGGGCGTGCAGTCCAAGAAGAACAAGCAGTCGATCTTGGACAACACGTTCCACTACGTCAGTATGCTGCGCAGCAACTTGCTCATTGCCAAGCAGAAGGCCGAGCGCGCGGAGAAGCAGGCGGACAACTTTCGCGCGCAGGTGCAGAGCGGCAATGGCGCTGGCGGACCGATGGAGACCGTGTTCAAGCGCTGCTTCGAGCAGTCGTCCACGCCGCGCGTGGTCGTGGACCTGCACATGCACCTCGTGGCAGTGAACTCGGCCTTTGTGTCGCAGGCCGGTCTCATGGAAGACAGCCTCATGGACACGAACACGCTGCGCGCGAGTCTGTGCCTCGACAACGGCAAGTTGGACGCCGTCGTGCAGTCGGTGAGCAACAACATGAAACCCGTGAGTGCCATCGTGCAGGCGCAAGGAATGGGCAACAACATCTCGACGCTCACGCTCATTGCGTCCGCGCTCACGGACGACGACAACGTCGTGACGGCGATCGAGTTCAGTCTCGTGCCTTTCGACATCTCGTCCGACTTTTCGGACCCGAGCGCAGCAGGCGGTTATGCGAACGACACCAAGCACCACGACCTGCACAAGGAGACGAGCCCCTTGGGCGTCAGCGACCTGACTGTGTAGAAGGCGTTGCGCAGCGGTCTGCGACGCGCAGACGCGACACACTCGCACATGTATGATTCACCTTGCTCGCGCCGTTGAGCCTGTCTAGCAGCGCTTGGCAGAGCAAGATCGCTGCGAGAGAGAGAGGAGGTCTTTTCCCACCGGTCGGCTCAGGACGACAGGACGGATGATGGACTGTAGACACTGGTGTAACATATAACCTATTGTTGATCTATCGTGGTGCATCGTATAGTGGCGGTCGGCAAAGATGATGAAAATGATGATGACGATGATGATGACGTCGCTCACTGCTGCTATACTCGTCGTGAACAATTAATTGGCCTCGTAAGGACTGCACTGTGCGTGTTGCCGTATCGCGCGCGAACGAACAGCCCTCGAAGCCCTTTTGCCGCCATCTGCTGCTGTCTCGACCAGCTGTGGACAACGTCGGATCAAAAACGGCGAGACGTGTTTCGGCAGGAGCTCCTCCGCCCATATGGTGGGCAGCAACGTAGCCATCCATTCGTCTGCTGCTGCCACCACACTATGCAGACAGGACGCACCGATCCATCCACACGCAGACGAGCAGTAGCGCTATCGCAACAGCGTCCGTCCAGGCAGCAACAACGCAGCCTCCAGTCCTTCTGCCAGTGGAGCGAGCGGGCGAGTGAGTGGCTGGGAGAAGAAAGGCGTCGTGGACTTCCTCCCGCCACGTGAACGCGATCGTCGACGGCGGCCGCGTTCGAGAAGGACCGATGAAGACGTCGACGCGATTTGCTCAGAGGCCGTGGGCGACAACACGACGAGAGACTGTCGTGTGCACGTCACGTCGTCCAACTAATCCTTCGAGCGATGATGGGTCACGTGCGACACTTTCGACGGGAAATCAAGTGCAGGCAGAAGTAAACATCGCCGCAACTCGGCACTGCGAGTGCAACTTGACGTTGACGGTCCAACGCGTGCGCATGTGCGGGTCCACTGTATTAGCTTAGCATCGACTCCCTCGCCCTCTTTGTCGCCCTACTGCCGAGGCGCAGCGCTGCAGTGTGTCTCCCTCGAGGCAGTCGGCAGGACCGCAGGAAGGAGGCCACGCAAGCGATTGTGGCGCTGGCTGCGCGAGCACAAGAGCGTCCACGTGTCACTGCTCGCTATTGCTCGCGTCCGACGGCTGCACGTCAGGGCTGATGCTCTCCGTAGGGTCCTCATAGATAGCAGTGCTGCTCGCACGACGACAAGCACACGAGTGCGAGCGACGTGGTCCCTGTCCGTGCTGCCTCGTTCCTTGCAAAAACGCCTACGTGCAATCCGCTGCTCGTTCACGAAAAGCTGCTGCACGCACTGACGCGACTTGGCCGCCAGTGCGTTACGCGTCCTTGTCCCTACTTGCCGCAGACGGGAGCAAGAGGCTTCGCGCCCGACTTCCTCCATAGTACAGCCCCACCGCAATGCTCTTGGACGTCTGCAGCGTGTACCACGCCGCGTTCCAGCTCCAGCTCAGCATCGACCCGTACTCGGACGCACGGACCTTCTCCTCGTCCTCTCTAGCTGCCTCCTGTCTCGCCTCGAGCAGCGCCACTCGCGACTCGTCGTCGACCATGTCCTGCATGTCCGAGACGTCCTCGAGCGGCTCGAGCGGCGCGTCCTGCTCGCCCACGCCCGTGCGCACGGCCATCTCGACCTCCACATGACGCCGAGCGTCCCGGTTCCTGGCGTCCCGCCGGCGGCTCTGCAGCTCCACTTGGGTCTTGGCGACCGTCAGGCCCACGAGCGTCCCCAGGGCCATCCCCGGGAGCACCAACAGGAACCCCACGAGCGGCTCCTTCAGAGCCAACAGCAGCAACAGACCCACTGCCCACCCGACCACAGCGCCGCCGCAGCCCACGAACAGCGTCCACGTCAACAGCCGATGGCAACAGCTCTCGCTCCACTTGCGGTCCTCGACGGCGCGACGGTACTTCTCCTCTGCGTGGAGCCGCAGCCGCTCGGCGTTGAGCGTACGGCGCTCAAAGAGGCGCTCCATCTCCTTCTGGTGCGTCTGCTGCTGCCGCTGGAGCTCCTTCGCCACAGCGATCGCTGCGTCGCGCTGGGCCATGAGCTCGGACTCCATGGCCGAAAGCGGACTTGAAGTGAGCGGGCGGTACGCAGAGTGGCGCGAAAGCGTCAAGAATGGGGTCTGAGCGAGCGGCAGGATGGTCAAAAAGGAACGGCGTGGGGGGCTCGTGCGGGAGCAGTTGACGTGCAGCTGAGGTGTGGACGTTTTTGACAGGGACGTTGTGTGTGCGTGTAATTTACGTCTCGCGATGATACATTACGGGAAAAGCCGGGGACGTGGGGCGAGTGTGCTTTATTGATTGTTGCTTTTCGTCTTTCGACCACTTGTTTTGCAAGAACGGCTTTTTAGTAGCGTCCTCTATCGAGAAGCTGGAGCTCGCAAAATTGCTCGCTCTTTACAGCGCATGATTTCGCACGACGGACTCCGCTCACACAAGTGAAAAGAAAACGATGACGTGCTCTGCCTTTGGTCATTATATTCTACGTCTCAACTAACGCAAGTTAGAGGCATCGGTTCCACTTATATAACCTGTTTCGCAGAAACGTCCATGTTTCTGTCGTGCAACTTTTCCACATGCACTTTGTGATTTACGGCGTATTAGAAAGACCACGCTGTTAAAGTAGCAGTAAGAATGGCCAAGACATTTCCCTGCTCAGCAGGTTTCACAGATGTTGCCGAGTCACAAGACCACAGAAGAGCATACGAAATCGGTTTCTATCCATCCAATTCTCTTCGCTGCAACATAACATGCACGACAAAAACATCAAATCCACGACTGGGGGGCACACTCCACTTTTGATAGGGGCACACCCGCTCTCCCAAACTGATACAAAGGACCTCACATTTTATGGTGCAGAATACGTAAAACACGTAGTCACTTACCACTGCTCGCTATGTCCCTATCTCTTCAACGGTAAATGCCCTCGTGCGCGAGATTTGATCAGTCCGTCTTGGCCAGGGCGGTATCTGAACGGCAATGCCTGCCGGGATCTCTACCGTCTCGAAGGCGGTATACGATCCAATGGTACGATGCCAAGATCTGACCATCGGCAGTGGCAACGACGTCCGAGTTTCGACGTGCTCACAGTCACGAGTCGTTTGTGGCCGAACCCCATCGATTAGAGCGCAAAGTCGTCGCGGACTTTGCCAAAACTCTCTACGTGACGCACGCCGCGAACGTAGAGATACTTCTGCAAGTGTGGAACAACCTTTGCGCGTGGCAGGAGGCACACACGTCGAGAAGGTTTCCAATTGAACGTTCGGGTAGTGCGTGCAAAGTGCGGTATGACGTGCACGAGGCGCCGACGTTTCGGTGTGGCGCGTGGAAGCACGAGGAAGACACAGCGGTTCGACGATTGGCCACGGGACAAGAAGACCCGAAACTGGTGAAGGAGTGGCACGAGACTGCAAAGCGCATGCCATAGTGCCGGGAAGACCAGGAGCTCATTGTCTCACTCGGTACCAGACAGCGCTGAACGCGGGACACACGCGGTCAACCTTTACGCCAGAGGACGAGTAGACTCTGCGTGAAGCTGTCCCGGGCTTTGGCGAAGAGTGGAACGTGGTTGCAGATTCGATGGACGGCCGTGTGTCGGAGCAGGTCCGCCATCGCTGGCAGCTCTCGCTTGCACCAGGTCTTCGGTGAGGCAACTTTTCGCTGGGTGAGGATCGACGGCTGCTGCTCGCACTTCGTGCTACGTGCCAAAAGGCAGCGAGTCCAATCAGGATCAAGTGCCTGGAACGACATTTTTGTCATCATGTGCCCGGGCGGACACAGCCAGCGCTTCGGGGCCGATACGTTGACTGCATCAACCCGGACTTGTCGTCCCGTAAGTTCACCGAGCTGAAAGATGGCTCATTCTTACAAGATAGCGCGAGTGGGGCATCGAGTCGCCCAGACTCGGGCCGCGGCTTGCTGCTGAGCTCAGTGGCCGCACGAAATCTCAACTGTGTCGATGCTGAAGACAAGCGGATCCAGACGCTTATGACAAACGTTGTCGCGCACTGATTGATGCAAGCAAAAGCCAGACAACAGCCGTCTTCTGTTGCCGGTCAATACATCATCATGAATCTTGCTTTGGGAAGAAAAACACTAAGCGTAGTACGTACAATGGTATCACAGTGGAGCAAGTGGCAACCGAGTCGTTTCCGCGAGGTCGTGCAGCTTTAGTGCTGCATAGTTTCGAAGCGTTGGAAGTCCTTTTTGTCATTTTAGGAGGGCGGGTGTGCCCGTAGCAAAAGTGGCCAAACATTACTGCTCTTGACAATTGCCGCCGATATCTACTCCCATGATACGGCACAATTGAGAAACCGCGTTGTTACCAGCTCATGTCACTCCTGTATGTGGAACACAAAGCAAGTTGTTGTCGGTTCGCATACAGGAATACGCTCTCGCAAATCGATCTCACCGAATGACCCCGTCCATTTTCCTGGCAAGCGTTTTCCATCCATCTCCAGATCGCGACGTAATCGCCAATACAATGGCTACAACAGCAGTCGCCAGCCCAATGCTTTGTTTGACATTTCTATCTACCTACATCATGTATTACCAGCCTCAAGCATATGCATTTGACCCACCATCATAATGTAGCGGTGCTCAGTGTTCTCCAACGTCGCGACTGAGACGGCCCAGTCCGTTCAACGCGGCGACGCGGTAGGCCTCCGCTAGTGTTGGGTAGTTGAACACCGCATCGCGGAAGTACGTCAATGAACAGCCCATGGCCATTGCAACTTGTCCGATGTGGATAATCTCCGTAGCGCCCTCTCCGATGGCGTGCACGCCGAGTACCTTGAGCGTATCAGGGTCAAACAAGATCTTCAGGGTACCGCCCGCCATGGCGCCCATCATCTGGCCCTTTGCCAACTCCGAGTACTTGGCAATTCCAATTTCGTAGTTCACGCAGTCCTTCGTGAGCTGCTGCTCCGTTTGACCCACCATCGAGATCTCCGGGATCGTGTAGATGCCATACGGGTAATTGCCGTTTTCCAACTGACTTGTTCCTGCGTGCTCCTCGTCGACGTCCCACATGTGGCACGACGCCAGGCGACCCTGTTCCATACTCGTGGATGCAAGCGCTGGCGCCCCGATGCAATCCCCGGCGGCATAACTAGAGAAGAAACAGGCGCAAGGTCATATGAGTCGATACGCATCGATCGAGCGTCGACACGTGCTCGTGATCGTACATGTGAGGCTGGTCGGTCTGGTAGTTCTTGTTCACATTGATGAGGCCACGGTGATTGCGCGAGAGTCCCACCGCTTCCAGGTTCAGTCCGTCCGTGCTCGCTTGACGACCCACCGTGTAGAGCAGCGCATCGGCACTGAGAACCTTTCCACTGTTGAAGAAGACCTTCACTCGCTTATCTGTCGTCTACCAGCAGTAGCGGCACACACGCAAAGTCCGCAAAAATAAGTACAAACACCGCCATGCTTGCCGCAAGTCAGTCAGCAAAACGCACGCACCTCGACGTTCTTGATGGTCTCGCCAAGCAGAAAGCGTGCGCCGTTGCTTTGCATATCGTACGTGAGGTTGCTGATGATTTCACGGTCACAGAAGGACAAGATCTGCACGAGCACACACACACACCCACACCCATATCCACATCGAACAAAATTGTCAGCTCGTCTTCCCTTTCCTCGCGTCTCGCACCTACGTCTGGTCGCGCATCCACAACTGTGACCGAGTGGCCCGGCACCACGTTGATCATGGACGCGTACTCCATGCCAATGACACCAGCGCCCACGACAATGAGCGAGCGCGGTAGCTGATGCATGCCACGCTTCAAGATCTGGTCGCTGTCGATCACGATCTTGCCGTCAATCGGCACGAGCGGGTTGTGCGCGGGCCGCGTGCCACAGGCGACGAGGAACTTGTCCGCCCGTACACGGGACCGCGCGTCCACGTCGCTGCGCAGGTCCGTCTCGGACTTGGCGCTGCTGCCGCGAAGGCCGTCGCCGCCTTCCTCCGGCACAATTGAGATCTCGTGCGCGCTCTCGAAGCGCGCAAAGCCGGGGATGACGTCCACCCGCGCGGCTTTCAGCTGCGCGCGCACGACGTCCTCTTCCGAGCTCACGACGCGCTGCACGCGGTACAAAATGTCTTCGATCGTGACGGTCTTCATGCTGTACGACTTGCCGTAGAAGCCGTGGTGCCGGTAGCCCGAGAGGTGCAGCACGGCCTCGCGGAACGTCTTGGACGGGATCGTGCCCGTGTGCACGCACACGCCGCCCAGCCGCGTCTTCTTGTCCACAATGGCGACGCGCTTGCCCTGCTTGGCCGAGTCGAGCGCGCACTGGGTGGCGGACGGACCGCTGCCGATGACCACGAGGTCGTAGGATGCGGCGTGCGGCGACCGTGTGGACGAGAGGCGCGCGCCTCGTCGCCGCAGCCACGCGCCGGTCGCCGTCGTCGTCCACAGTCGTGTCATGACGTCGTGCGTCGCGGCGGAAAGATTGAGGCGGTCACGAGTGACCGACTGATGGATTGACTGATTGGCGTGGTGTGGTGTGGTGCGGTTGTCGCTCGGAAGCCAGTTGTGTGTGGGCCACATATCGCGCAACATCGCGCAACATCCGCCACACGCGCAGACGCGCAACATCGCGCAACATCCGCCACACGCGCAGACGCGCAACGACACTCGCGGCAATATGGCGCGCAACGAGGAGAAGGCGCAGTCGCTGCTGAACCGATGGACGAGCATGAAGCAGGACTTTGCCGACACGTTCAAAAAGCACGTGCGACAGCGATCGGGGAGCGGTCAACGCGGCGACGATTGCTTCCGTTCCGCTGCGCTGTTCGCTGCTCACGCTCTCTCACTGTGTTGTCTCTGTCTCTGTTGGTGTTCCATTGCAGTCGACGGCCGTATCTCGCGTCTCAATGCGACAATCTGAAAGACGCCGAGCGCTGGCGACGGCAGATCGTCCGTGAGATTGCCAAGAAAGTTGCAGATATACAGAACGGTACGGTGCTGCATGGACGTCTCTGCTGCTACTGCTGCTGTCTCTGCCTCTACTGCTGCTGTTGTCTCTGCTGCTACTGCTGCTGTTGTCTCTGCTGCTACTGCTGCTGTCGTTTTTGCTACTGCTGCTGATACTGCTGTGTGTGTGGACCGCTTGTCAGCCGGCTCGAGCGAGCACGTGGTGCGTGACCTCAACGACGAGATCAATAAGCGCATCCGAGAGAAGCGGCACTGGGAGCGGCGGATCGTGCAGCTGGGCGGATCGGACTATTCGCGCACGCAGCCGCAGGCCTACGATGCAGACGGCGTCGCGGTGAGTGGAGCGCGAGGCTACAAGTACTTTGGCGCGGCAAAGAATCTCCCGGGCGTGCGCGAGCTCTTCCAGAAAGAAAAGTGTGAGTCTCGCAAACGTACGCGTCAAGACATGTACAAGAACATTGGCCCCGACTACTACGGCTTTCGCGACGACGAGGACGAACTGCAGCTCAAGGAGGAGGAAGAAGCGGAAAGGAGGCTGCGCCAGCGCGCCATGGCGGACTGGGACGCTACTGAGGCGAAGCGTAAGGCGCAGGTCGCTGAATTGGTGCGTGGTCTGTCACGAACCCATTGTGTACCGCCGCCGAGAGTCTGCGTTCTGAACGTGCGTGTATCGCTGTAACAGGGAATACGGGCGACGTCGTAGCAAACAGCGCAAGGACAGTCGACTCCGTGGGAAAGTTGCATGTCGATGGACCAATGAATGCTGCCGCTGGTCGACCACGACGGCCGCAGCTGGACAAGCACGTTAGCAGTAGCACCCGTGAGTGCTACGCAGTGCAACAAGTATAAGACCCGCCGCAACAGCCTACATAGACAACAGTGTTCCAGCAGACAACTTGCGACGTCTGCGCTGTGTGACTCCGTTTGTCAATTGTTGTTGGTTTATTGACGAGAGTTTGACTCGCAAATGGGTCATGGAGCTCGTCGACCATTCCCTCTTGCGTCCCAGCGACCTGCCCGCGTGTCAACCACTGCACGCTCTCCCTGCCAGTGGTTGCAGAACAGTCGCCCGGCAAATGGACAGCGAGACAAACCATTCGAGTGGTCGGACTCGCACGGCTCGACTGCTGGCAACGTGCCGCTGCTGCTGCTGCTGTCTTTAGTCCTTGAAGTGGCGGATGGGGTTGGCCTTCTGCGCCTTGCCGTACTCTACAGAGGCCGCCTGCCACTCAGCCGACGTGGTCTTGGGCGAGCCGGGCACTGCGCCGCCGAGTTCTGGGCCTGTCCGTACGTAACACACGTCGTCAGTACTACGAGCGGCAACAGAGCGAGAGGACGCGACGGACGCCACGTCCGTTCGTACGTACGTACCAGTGTAACGAAAGAAGCCAAAGGCCGAGTACGACGCCGCGATGATCGTCGGGATGGTGATGGCCATCGTCGTGCCCTTGGAGAACTTCTGCGAGAGCTGGTAGAACATGCTGCTGAACACACGTCGGTCAGGCGGTCAGGCAGTCAGTCGGTCGGTCGGTCGGCGACGGGTACTGCGGATGGGGCGGCGGAATTCGAGACTAAGGCCGTGGACGCACACGAACAGCGATTGAGTTGTGGGAGTGTATCGATATAAGCAGGCTGACTCGTTCAGCATACAAAACAAGGCATGCGGACACGCGCACAAGCTCGACCACTATAAATGCCACGACCAAGGGCTAAACAGGACAAGTTCGTGTCTGCCCTTCCTCGCCCTGTACCCTTTTTTGCAACTGTCCTGAACCAGTCACTCGCGCGCATCAGGTGAGCTCCTGGATCACGGGACGCGGCTTCGCGCTCGGCTTCTCGTGCCGCATCCGGAACGACGACGTCTTTGCTTCCGGTGCTGTTGAGTCCGACGTCATGTCAGTCGCGCGGCCCGTTCGAATTGCAGCCGCAGTCAGTGCTTCTGAGTCGACAGCGGCTGTGTCGTCGCCGTCGCTGCCGTTGTCGTCCATCATACCGAGTGCAAAGTTCTAGTGCAAGTGCAGCAGCAGCAGCAACAACAAAGCGCCGATAGAGTGGCCGCATTGCACATCAGTTAGTAGTGGACGCCGTTGGTTGTGCATGTTGCTGCTGACACTGACAACGCACCATTTCAATCACTGGCGCTTTGCTCTCCTTCTTCGCTTCGTCGTCGCTTGCCACGACATCGTCCGCGTCGCCGTCGCTCCTCTCGTCGGCTTCTTCCACTTCAATGTTGTGCTTGGCACCTTCGCCTGCTGCGACCTTCTCGCTCAGTTTCTTGTTCTCTGCAGCCATCACGGGCAGGAACGCTTCGAGTCGAGAGAACACTGACGTATGTCGTACACGCAAGCGGCCAGAAGAAGGCGTTAGACTGGCAAACACACAGGCACACACCCACACATGCAGCCACAGCAGACAGCACGAGCGTACGAGCGCTCTTGGGGACTCCGTGAACCGACGGGGGCTTCTGCTGCTGCTCTTCCTGCATTGACGCGAGAGGCTCACCAATCAATTATTCACTCGGTCTTTCCACTGTGAATTCAGCCAAAGTATGTCGCACATACATAGCGCACAGCCTCTCCGAGTTGAGGCGGAACGGCCGCATTGTCGTCGTCGTCATTGGGACGTGTCTCATGACGGTGCGACGTCTCGTTGGCGTGGAGCAAAAGTGGTCTCTCTGCCCGCACAGCACTCTCATGTGGCGCAGAGAACTTACCATTCTGCTTCTTGTCGCGTGCCGCAGCCATTGCAAACGCTACTGCCGCTGCACAGTGGCAAAGACGTTTTGTCGGGCATTAGTACGTGTTGACTCGGCCATCAAGTGGCTCTTTGGGACGCGTCCTGATCCATTGCAGGAGTGTAGTGGATCTATTACGTCTGTCCATCTGTCTGTCTGTCAACGGTGCAGACTCAACGAGTCGAGTTCGGCAGACACGATCGCGTCTCCTCTTTCTCGTCGCCCATGTAATCTCTTCACGAGTGACTTTCCGACAGTTTGGTGCAAGTGAGTGGATGCACATCGCCACTCACTCGCGTGCCGCGCACTCGTACAAGAACAAGAAGCAGGCGGCAGTCCCCTCCACGACGTTGCGTTTGTTACCGGTCAGTTGGTCGGCCGAGTCAGTCGCTCGTGTGTGCGCATGTTTCGTGCAGAGGTGTACATTTGTATCGGCAGTGGCGGCCAGGCCGACCACGGATCGACTGGTGCGAGCGGAAGCCGACAGGGGCTGAATCGAGTGTACCTCCCGTTCTTTCCAGTTGCCTGCAAGCAACAGCTTTTGCATGTCTGGGTCGGTGTCACGCGCACGACCGGCCGCCTCTATCGCTTCCGAGGTGAGGACGGTGGGTATGAAGCTGCGGACGCGGTGTGGGTTGACGACCTTCGACGTTGAATGCGCTCCTTTCGACGCCTCTTGCTTAAGTACCGCAGCGAGACGGGCACGGTGAAAAACCTCGCCGTCTGCTCTTTGAGAAACTACAAAACTGTGCTTGTGGCCGCGTGATGTGCCGTGAGAAGCACATCCCCGTGCTAAGCTCTGCCTGTCAAAGCTGGTAGGCTGTTCTAGATCTGAGATGGTCCAGACTGCGGGCGTTGTTTACTGTCGCCTATAGCCAAGACCGCGCGAAGCTTCTGTCGTGGAGACATACATGGCTGCACACAAAGGCCGACGGTCGGTCTGTGAGACGAGATACGATCGATACTCGTCGCGTGTGGAGGAGCAACGTGTCATCATGCTCGGCGCAAAAGCGAGTGCACCATTCGACCTCCTCGAGACTGACGGCAGACACGACGGACTCACACGACCAGACAAGTGAGCGGACCGGAACACAAAGTGCACGTTGGTATAATGTCCGCAGATACGGGACCCTCTCGTCCAAACGACTGACCATCAGAGCGCTCTTCAGTGAGCGGCGAGCAGCTGCGTATACCGCTTCGCGTTGTTTTCGGCCCACTGGTCTAGTGTCGCTGGCGCAATGTCCGTCAGGTCTTCAAAGCTCTGCGACACGGGCAGCACCATCGCAGCCGTGTCAACGTCCCCTCCCACCAGCTCGGCACTATCCGCAGCTGTCCGCACGTCCCTCGCGAACTCCACTGCACACTCGAGAAACTGCTGCGTATGCGCCCGAGGCCAATACGCCACCCGCCAAAACTCGCGGCCCTGTTGCTCCCTCAACGCGTCCACGCGGCTCAGCCGCACGGGCCGCGCCCTGTACGCGTGTCGCTGCAACACGCGCTGGACGTCCGTCATCGTGACGCTCAGCGTGTAGAGCTCCTTCGTCTTGCCGCGATGCAGGGGGAACGTGAACGCAGCCGCCACGAGCGCCTTCGCCGCGTCCTCGAGCGACATCAGGTACACCCGCGCAGCCGCCAGCGATGGCTCCAAGAGCGGCCACATGAGGTGGGACGGCGGCGACGACACCATCGCTTTCACTTCTCCGGCCTCCACTTCGTCCTGCGTTTGGGCTTCAACGTCCGACTCGAATTCGGCGGTACCGACCGCAGGCGTCTCGCGCTTCTCTTCCTCTGCGCTTCCACCCTCGTCGCAATACGACAGCGCCAAGAAGTACTCCATGAACAGCGGGAGACGAAAGATCGTGTACGCGACGCCTGACGTCTTCACGCAGCTCTCAATCTCTTCGAGCTGCTCGAGGATCACGCTCTGCTGTAGAGTCGGAGAGCCCACAAAAATCGAGCTCACCAGCACCACACCCCACGCGTTCGCACGCACCGCTGCATGGACAACGGCCCGCACCACGTCTAGACAAGCCCTGCCACCGAGTCGCAGAGGGGGGATGAGCAGCACGACATCCAGCGACGACAGCTGCTTGAGCAAATCGTCCATGGGGTATGGTGGAGCACCTTCGAGCTGATACACAGTCGGTCCCGACGGCACGCCAAACGACCTGCTGCGTTCGGCACTCCCTGGGGCCGACTTGACCGTACACAGCGTGACTTTGGCCTGCGCCAGGCCTCCGTGATCGCCCACGGTGTTGGAACGGCCGGAAAGAACAGTCGGAACAGCACTCTCACCCACCTCGCGCGCCGGCAGCGACGATGGAGCCGTAATCTGATCAGCCACGAACTTGCTCACCTCGAGAAATAGCGCCTCACCTGAGCCCACTACGAATAGCTGCACTTGGTTCTGCGGTGTGCGCGCAAACAGCGACGTCGCATGTTGCTGCAGCCACTGGCGGGGGGTTGTCCGATCTCGCTTGGTAAGCTGCCGAAAATTGCTCGTGCTGCGAAACGCTTCCGGCAAATGCAGCAAGTGAGCTCCTTCTTCTCGAGTCTGGCTCGCCGACTTTCCGTGGTTGTTGTTGCTGCTCGCGTCTTCTCCACTCTTCTCTCGCTCTTCGAGGAAAAGCTTGAGTCCGACCGTGCCTTGAGCCACTTGATCGGGGATGTCTTTCTCTTTCATCACACGAAGAAAGTCCGCGTCGCTCAACTTGCGGTACTTAATGTCCCGTCCGAGATGGCCCTTCAGATAATGGGCCAGTTCATTCGGACTGCAGCTTGCGCCAATCCCACCAGTCAAGCGGTACACCGCTTCGTACTTCCGTTTTGGGTTTGCCAGTACCTCGGCAGCTGCGAATCCGACATCACGCACGGCAATGCAGGGCACGTGCGTGTCTGGCGCAAAGCACCCGACATACCGGTTTGCGAAGAGCAGCTCGTCACGACAGTACAGCAGCGTTTCCATGAGGAGGGGGATCCGCAGGGATACACACCGACCTTGTTCGGGAAGCCGGTTCCTCGCGTGAACTTCCACTGCCTCGTAGCCTTCCAGAGCAGCAACATCCGTCGAAGTCGAACCTACAGCTTCAGTGGCTGGTCGGTCCTTCGCGTGTTCTTGACGACATCGACTCAACAGCTCCGGTGACGCCAAGATGCTGCTGATCACGACGAGGCGTGGGACCTGCTCAGCTGCTGCAGCGTCGATGACACGCCGTGAGAAACGTACACCACTTTCGGAAAGTGCAGGAACGAGGAGCACGGCATCCGCATTACGCACAGCCCGACGAAGTGAGTCCTCGCCACCTTGAGCAAAATTGCACTGCACAATAAAACTGCGTGTTGCGGACTTCAACCGCTGCACTCGTGGGTCTTTGGCGCTTTCGACTGCGGCCACAAGCGCGACAGACACTTGATCCTGAGCGGCGAGAGCTTCCAACACCGCACGACCAATGCGACTGGTAGCGCCAAATACCACAATCACGCGAGAACGCATCAGCTTTCGTAGCTGAATGCCCATGATTGCCTGTTCAACGTCTTGCGGATGGGAAAATGGCCACGAAGACTACGAGAAGCATTGCATTTTCTTCTGCGACGAGGTGCTTGCTTTGCTTCTCCCGTTGACGTTCACTCCAACTGGCACACACACACGCACACATGCATACAGAACAAGCACATTTTTCGGCAAAGAGGTGTGAGCAATAAACGACGACAGACTATGACGACAAAACAGTTAAGATCGGGGCCGTCTCCGTCTCCAGCAGAAGTCGTTGGATCCCGCAACGTTTATCAATTGCTTCCACACTACTATAGTCAGTCATGTTGACGGCTTCCTGCAAGCGGGTGCATCTATTTGGATCGATCCACGACCAGCTGCGCCAGCCGTACCATGGCGTCCCGCTCGGATGAAGGAGCGAACTGCATGGCTGCTTGGGCTGCCAGCTCTGCTTGGCCGATGGCCAGAGCTTTAGATCGTGCAATGCCTGTACTCTTTTCCACCAGCTCGCTGGCCTGCAATCCCAATACAACGTGCGTCAGTAATGCAGCGTATTGTCCACCGGAAGCTTCACAGTACCGACAGTACCATCTCGATGTCGCCCCCCTTCGCAAATTTTCGCTTCGATAGCTCACGGAGAACCGGATACTCTTCTTGTGCCAGCAGCAGTGGAGCCGTTGATAGGCCAGACTTAAGGTCAGCCAGCAATGGCTTGCCTGTGTTGACGCCTTCGTAGTCCAACACGTCGTCTACTAGCTATTCAGGTGATAACACAACCGCAGCGTTAGCTCACTTGTGGACTACTACAAGTGACATGCTCGACCAGCGCTTCCACAACGACATATCGATGCTGTTCGCATGGTAATGCGACAGACATGTATTACCTGGAAGGCAAGACCAATGTGGCGACCGAATGCAAAACCCAGATCGCAGATGGGCTGGTCGTGCTTTCCGAGCACAAGCGCGGCCTTGCAGCTGTTGGCCATGAGCGAGCCTGTCTTGTAGTAGTTCTTGCGCAAGTAGTACTCGAACGGAGAGATATCGTCGCGAGCGTCAGCATTCTTCATCTGCATGATCTCGCCCTTGACCAGATGCTCAATCGACGTGGACATGAGTTCAATGGCTTCCAAGTTGCGCAGACGAGCCAGCAACACGGACGAACGCGCGAGCAGAAAATCGCCCGCCAGTACAGCCATCTTGCCGCCAAACATCTTATTGACCGATGGGCGGCCACGGCGCGTATCGGCTTCGTCAATAACGTCGTCATGCATCAGACTAGACGTGTGGATCATCTCACTGCATACACAAATACATTGGTGACATGGTCAGGCAAGGGCTCAAAGCATTTGGCACCAGTATCGTCCAGATGCGGCCTCGCACGTGATCTCAGCAAGTCGTTGCTGGGCTGCAAACGTGTATTCTTCCGACTGGGTCTCTGGCAATGGCGTGCCCACAGCGCGGCGGTGGGCCTCGGCAGCCCGTGCCATCAGTAGCACCATGGTAGGGCGCACCTTCTTGCCCCCGTCGTGCTCAAAAAAGTAGCGGGCCACCGCTGCCAGCACGGGGTGGTCCGAGCCGAGAATGCGCTTGATACTGTCCGTGACGCCCGCCATGTCCTTCTCCACGAGCGTAAACGGGTCCACCAGGTTCCTCGGGTCCGTCGCCAGGTACGCGAGCTGCATGTTGACGCCACGCACGGGTCTGCAGCAACAAAGCAGCAGCACGAGCAGAAGCAGTAGCATCAGTAGCAATCGTACTGGCAGTTAGACGTTCGTGTTTGGCATCGCTAGTGTTCTCAGTAGCCAAAACCGAGTGCTCTTCCACGCACGTGTCAAAGTCCGGACTGAGGTGCCGAAGCTGCTCGGGCCCCTCGTCGCCCGCGAGCGCGTAGCCAGGAGAAGGATCCAGAATCGACACTGTGGGCTCGTTCTGCTCACATAACGACACACACGACGCGCGTGACGCACGGACACGTCAGCGCACGGAACGAGAGACTGCAAATGACGACGCGCACTCACGACAGCGGACGCGCTCAGCCACAGGGTCGGGCTCGTCTCGAGGCCCGCGCGGAGCTTGTCGCCCATGACACGCAGCGCCTGGTCGCGCAGACTGCTCAGGCGACGCGCGTGGACCACGCGGGACACGCCGCGTCGAGGGACGCGCTGCATGGGACGGTCGAGGTGCCTGGCCGGAGAGTGGGGTATAGTGCAACTCAAGCCGCTCGACGCGGGCTGCAACGATCATGAGTGAACTATGTCCGGAATAACAAATGTGAGGTTATGTTGCACCTTGCTTCGACACGGGCTCTCGTTGGCCGCATGAAGTGCCTTCCAAAACCGATATCGACAACACCGTAATCGCGTCGAAGTGATCATTGCTGACGGGCACATGTGAAACGGACGACGAGGCTGTTGATAAATCCTGACAGAATACAAATGAAAAACTCGACGGAGTCGTTGACTCATCAGCTTTATTTCTAATGCAGAGGATAATCGTATAAACAGTGGAGAAACTTGTACAGTTGCTAAAGCACCAAAATGGTGAATATGGGTGTTTGTTTATGATAGTAAAGACGCAGTGAGTTGTAATAAAGTAGTGATGATGCAGCGACCCAACATTGGCGACGAAGCTTTTCAGTTGACGCCCTCAGTATGCTCGGGCCGATTTCTTCTTCGCTATATCAGCTTCGCGAGTTTGTCATGCACAGCACAATGCTTGGTGAATGAATAGAAGCACCTGAAGACATTTGGCTCCTACTGCAATACCGGCATCAGCTCCGCGGCGAGCGCACGTAGGCGTAAGTACATGAAAGCTGATAAACCGGTACAAAATTGCTTCATCTTTGTCAAGATGCTGTGCATAAACAGGGTAACCCGATGTCACGGGGTGAGCCCGTTACACAACAAAAACACTTCTGTTGATGTCGACATGAACATTATCGAACGGTGGTACACGATTAGTGGCACGCCACGATTAGGTACGTTCACCGCGTGGTGTGCCATTCATTTGAATCAGGGTCGTTATCGGTATTTAAGGTACTTTTCAGGTTTTATTCTAGAAGAGAAAGAAACCTCACTTCTAGTAATCACAGGGAGGTTCGAACCCGCTTTAATTTGTAAACAAATGTCAGTCCCCTTTTCATCTGTTAGAGACACGTGCATTGTTAAGGTGTCTCAGATCGTGTAAGAAGAATTAAGACTTGTTAAGACGTGGACTTTAAGCCCTTTGTGCTGTTGATTCGTTGCATCGTTTGGTCTTTTGAACGAGGACCTGAAGATTTCACTTGTTGACTCGTAGAGTCGAGTTCTTTTGTTGAACTAAATTGCTCGTTGAGCAGAAAGCCTTCATCTGGCAAAGAGCTACAGTATCTCCGCTACACATTATTTTTGAAAGGTGATGGTGGCCACGAGTAGCTCGTCACGCGCCTATCGATTATTGTGTTATGTCAGGCGTTTTACGCTATCGTAAAAACTATTGGAGTCTACAGTCATACTGTCATAGCTCAGTGTATGGCCGAGCAGCGCAGGGATTGTTGGATGACGAGTTACATATGATATCGAGCATAGCCCCCTGGACGGCCTACTCCAAGCAAAATCGATATTTAGATCGCTATTATGCAGGGGCGCTGTAGCCTGAGGGCGCTGTAGACTGAGTCAGCACTTGCTTTTTGCGCTCCTCTACGAACCTATGTTTGCTGAATAGTCGACGACACGCCAGAGGTCACAAGGAAAAAGTGCGCTCGCATGCATAAATATAAATATAGCTTATGGATCCAATAACTGGAAAACGGAAGACATGTTACGACTCTCTGACACAGGCATATTGTAGTGAAATCAATAGTCCCTCACTCAGGGCTGGTCTACCTGGAGGCGAAACGTTCGTTTTGTACTTAAGGCGCTTCACAAATATACTCAGGTTCGCGTCTTTATCGGTAGAAGATATCGATTTATGATTTATATGGGCGTCACGAGTTCCTGAACGGGCACAGCCAGTAAAAACACGTCAGCTCTCTCTTCTCTCCTCCATCCGACGGCTTATCAGCCAGATTTGTTTGGGCTTTTAAAAGGCGCAGACAACCCATGTCTTTTAATCTGCCGCAAGACTCCATTGAAGCGGCGTCCTTTGCGTGTTGTATCGAAGAAACTCACGACGCGATCGTAAAAGAAGATGATGAAATGCATACGGAATAGAAGGGGTTATGGGTAAACATTTGGACACGAAACAAGTCTCTGTATCCTGTCTGGAGCTTCGATGTAACGGGGCACCGACAACTACGTACTGGTCGACCAGTACGGAGTTTACTATCACTGACTGTCGTGATAGTCAGTGCCCAGATAGGTGTAGAACTACACAGAGGAAGGTGTGGCAAAGTCATCAATCAATTTTTATGACATGGATCGGTGGCCATCCAATTGAGGCGCCACTTACTGGTGGAAATGGCACCAAGTTATCTGGCGATCCAATGAGATACGGATGGTGATCCCACGGAGATCGACGGACCGATCCAACGGTCGAACGAAGGATGGACGTGGAACGGTCTGAGACGAGGCGCATAAAGGGGTGATTTCCTTGGAACAATCTGGGACGAGTCGCAGACATAGATGCTTTCCACGGTGCGATCTGGGACGAGGGACTAGATTGAACCAGGCGACCGATCTTAACGGAGAAAGGTACGTATGATACCAGGCGATGCGACGTGACTCTGTGACAAAGGTGTAGCATCCAGGCGATCGAAGATACACATCACCGATCTCCAATGGGAGTACTGATTTTGGTTAAGTATAGCCCGATCTGGAAGTGTGGATGTTCGTGGAGGTCCGTGGGACCGTTGTGAGAGCCGTGGATGGTCCCATTGTGCGGGTAAACCCTTGAGGATGGCATCGGAGCTTGCATAATGAACAAAAACATATAGGGTCGGATCGCACTGTGTCGATCCTCAACGATCTCGAATTGGGCATCAGATTAGCCATGTTCCCTGCTGATTACGGAAATATCGATGATGGAGCTATCTTATTGTGGTATACATGCTTGTGGAACGTCTATGAGGGATTTCCCAAAACATCAGAATGAAAGAGCCAGTGGAAGCCGGTCGAATTGACGTCGCAAAATGGGTTTAGACACATTCCGCATTTTGTATACAATTCTGGACTTTTCGGTACCAAAATTGGGTATTTGGTGCCGTATTTGGAATTTGGTCTCTTTTGGTGTCTAGGTACGATATCGGGAGTATTGGCGCTATCTTTGGGGTACAGATCACGAAATTTCGACACGTGTTCAAGGGAGCGGTCAAGATTAAAGGTGATATCGGTTTAGAGAGTGATCTACAGTTTGGAATAGGCTTAAGTATAGGTTGGCTAATAATTGGTTGGTTAATAAACAGACTTGAACTCTACTTCTTCTGCACACGACGCACGTTCATCCCCTCTTCTCCGGGCAAGATTGATTTGGCTTCCCCGGCGAGTCAAGGCACGCGTGTTACAAGGACACAGAAGACCGATCTTTAATTGTTGGCCAAGATCGAGAAGAGCGATCTCGGTAAGTTTGGCCCGGATCGATCAAGTACTCACTCTCGACTCAACTGCTAGGGTAGCAGCAAACAACAACAAAGGGAAAGGATTTTGGTTACAAGATCGCAAGTCGGCTCAAGTGGTCAGAAGATCTGGACAAGGCGTTCAAGACAAGACCGAGCAAGATCGAAGCGATCTACTGGACAGATCGGCGTGTTTTATTTTGGCGAAACCAAGGACCGATCTGCTCAAATTGCGCACTTCCAGCAAGATCGGCCGATCCCAGCGCAAGATCGACGGAAGACTACTATTTGCTGAGTGAAGATTTACGCACAGCGAAGACCCCGATACCGAAGACAAATCGAGATCGGTGCGATTCTAGATCGGGATCGCGACATCTCTAACTAGAGATCGCCGTGACTCAAGATCAAGATCGCAGAACCCCCGTTCGTGGTGTGAAGATTTCCGCATCGGAAGCGAACGCTCAACTCAACCTCTCAGCGAGATCGACATCTCCCAAGTCCATTACGAAGAGCTCAAGCCAGCCCAACCGACGGGTACACAAGGTGAGCACAAGGCTATACAACAAGGCACGGATCGGAGTACCCCCTCCGTGAGTCGGCAAGTATGAGCAAGTGGAAGATAGACCCTTACTAAAGTAATTTTGTGAGATCGACTTCACCACAAAGGTAGAACGACTAAGGTGAAAGACTCTAGTCGTAGAAAAAGTAAAACTGTTATTAATATAAACGAGTCCTATAACTATTGTCTCTCTGCTTGTCCTGACTTAATTATACTAATGTAACTAAAAGTATGGTGACGTCTACTCACCACCCATTGCGCGCGTCTAGCAGCGATTTGTGGGTTGATATCATCACGATATCAACCAATGAGTAGACCCTTCGGTCATCTTCAACAATATCATCATGCTCTGTGATATTGTTGAAAGAATATTCATCGTGATATTCTTTATTGTCATTTTCTTCGTAGTGACAATATCATGTAACGGGCTACCCCGTTACATCACCCCTCCCTTAACTGATAGTCACCGTGTGACGATCTAAACTTTTGTGGCCACCCGTTGGATGTCAGCGGGACGGGGAGTACTTGTTGGTCGAATTCATTTATTCTGACTTTGCCTCGCATAGATAACATGTCTATGCGGGGTGACTCAAATACGACACAGCCTGCTGCTGCGCCCGCCTCTGCGGCAGAAGACTCGGCGTCTGCTTCTCGTTCTCAGCCTGAAACAGGTGTTGCTGCAGGCGCATGTGGTATCACACCTCATGCACACAGTGACCCCGAGTTAGGGGTCAGCTACTCTGGCGAGTCAGATGTGTCTGACTCGGAAAAGACTCTAGAGGCACCGCGCTCACCTGCAGTGCCTCGTTCATCAGAGGAGACCTGCCGAACGTACGGACTCGCGACATGCGTAATAGTCTGTTCGGCAGTGATGATGAATATGGTGATGAGTATGATTACTCAAAACCGCGATCAACTCGTGCGCCTTCGCACGAGCGATTCGACGATAATGTGAGCCGACGTCATACTGATAACCGTGGTACCGGCAAAGGTACCACTTCGAAGCGTGATTAGCTGAAGCCGTGGCGTTTGCCTGAACAGCTCATCAATGACTTGTCTCACGAGACAAGTCAACACCA